TTCCCGTCTCCCTGGTCTGCTGGTCTCCAGCAGACCAGGGAGACGGGCAGCAAACCCCGTTCGTAACTGCGGATCCGACATAAGTCAGATCCGTGTAACTCGGGGACCGCCTGTACACTTAAAAAAACAACAAATAGTCTGGTAGCACTTTAAAGACTAACAAAACAATGTTAAATAGTCTGGATTTTTTTTCCTTCAACAGCCAACATATAATATTTTAACAACAAGCATGTGAATTTTTTAATTTAAGTATTCAAGTTTTTTTAAATCAGGTTTGATTTTGTTCAAGTTAACTAAAATAGTTAAATGAAATATTTAAAAAAACAAAGCTAAATTTCTCAATTTGAAATTAATTAGTCCAAAGGAAGAAAATAGTCTTTCTACACCAGCAGAAGAAGCTACCGAGTTGACTTGGAGGTTATAAAGTTTTACATTGTTTTGTTTTTGAGAGTGTACAAATTGTGAGTTAGACTGTCACGGTAGAGTTTGCACTATAAGGCTTGTATGAAGTGGATCAAAAAATACTCTGCTTATTTTCACAGTGCAAACATTTAATAAAAAATAATAATATAAAGTGAGCGCTGGACACTTTGTATTCTGTCTTATAATTGAAATCATTATATATTTGAAAATGTGGAAAAACATCCCCAAATATTTACAATAAATTTAAATTGGTATTCTATTATTATTTAACAGTGTGATTAAAACAGTGACTAATGATGATTCCGTAATTATTTGACAGCCCTAATCCGTATTCTTAGAGTGAAAATGATTGATACAGGAGTAGGGGGAGGGGGACTCCTCTCTGTGTTTCGGCTTACACTTTTGCTATTAAGGCCTTCAGCTACAGTTACTGAATGAAAATGGGAGGGAATGAAATGTATGGTAATTGCAAGTATTCTCAAACTTAGGTGGTACAAAATGGATATTTAATACTTTTGCCTGAATGTTGGTCACTTGGCTGCCTGACAGATATATTCCTGTGCCTCATACAGGCTTCATATGGAGCAGTTCCAGGCATTCAGTAAAAAGTATTTTCATACTCTATGGCTGTTTCCCTAATTATTTATTAAAACAAACAATTATGATGCTATTACTCTACATGTTTGCTATTTTTAGGGCATAAATAGGATGTTGTGGTAGAAATGTATGTATTTTTATTAACCCAGAATAGTTACAGCACTACAACCTCTCGTGTGATCACGGTTGTACTTCTTTAAAGGTGTGTTAGATTAGGGGTTTTTAAACGACAGGTCATGACCCAGGACTGGGTGGTGGAATGTCGGGCACTTGGTCTTATTGCTGCAGGGTGACCAGTGGGGGTGCTAAGTCAGGCTTCCTGCCTGTTCTGTCACTGCAACAGGCCCGACTCCCAGGTGGGGTTTTTTTGTGGAGGAGAGGGGAGCACACAGGACTCCGTGCACTGTCCTTGCCCTGAGTACTAGCTTCTCACGCCCATTGGCTGGAACCTGCTTCTGGCCCTTCTGCCCCAACCCTGATCCCCTCCTCCTCCAAAGCCGGAGCTCCCTCCTACAGCCCAGAGTGCTCATCCCGAGCTCCATGCTAGAGCCCCCACTCTAGTCACCTTATATTGGGTCACAGACATCAACCATGTTCTTCAGCTAGGTCATGAGCAAAAAAGGTTGAAGACCACTGCTTTAGATGAAGAAGTATATTCCTTTCCTATGTGGCTATAAGCTAGGGGTGGGCAATGCTTTTTGATGGGGGTCACTCCAAGAATTTGGAAAGTGTTGGAAGAGTGCAGCCCTCGATATTAATGGAGGAGGTGCGGGGGTGTAGGATGGAGGGGGGTGCAGAAGGGAGCTTGGGGTAAGGGAAGGAGTTTGGGTGAAGGAGGCAGTTGTGACCTGGGGCACTGGACCGGGGTGCAGGGTGTTGGGTTGTGACCTAGGGCAGGGAATTGGAATACAAGAGGGAGTGCAGGGATTTTGGTTGTGAGCTAGGGCAGAAGGGGACTGTGATCTGGGGCAGGGGATTGGGGTGCCGGATCTGGGAGGGGATATGGTTGCAGGAGGGGGGTAGAGGATTTGGGTATGTGGAGTGGGGCGGGGGGAGGGACTGGGATGCCAGAGGTAGGCTGTGTCTGGAGACTTGCCAGCCAGCAGCCCATTCCTGACTGAATCAGCCTCCCTGCCTGCTCCGCCCCCGCACAGGCTGCAGCCATGTGTTCTGGAACCCCTTGTTCTTCGTGGCTGCTTGTTATTGACGAACAATGGGCCAATGGGATTGTGCCAATGGGATTGTGCTGGGGGCGGGAACAGCTCCTAAAGTCCCCCCCCCCCCCCTCCGCACTCACAGTTTTTAAAGAAAAAATGCCCCACAGCCGCGGTTCTGAGCAGCATGCGGGGGGGGCGAGACAAGTGGGGAGCCTGCCTGGGGCTCCCTGTAGCATCCGTGGGCCAGATCTGGTGGCATGCTGGGCCTGATGCAGCCTGTGGGCCATATTTTGTCCAGGCCTGGTACAAGCTATACCTTTCTAAGGATCTGTATAACTGAATCTACAGTAGGGAGATTCTACTGCTCTAACAATATCAGTATAGTAGTTATTGGCAAGTGCTCAAAGTGTGTCTTGCTGACAGATTTGAATAGTGAGATAGTACTTGCCTTCTCTATCAGCTCAGGGAAGGGTGCTCTAAACAGAGATGATGGTGTGGAAGAAAGGATGACTATACCTTTCTAAGGATCTGTATAACTGAATCTACAGTAGGGAGATTCTACTGCTCTAACAATATCAGTATAGTAGTTATTGGCAAGTGCTCAAAGTGTGTCTTGCTGACAGATTTGAATAGTGAGATAGTACTTGCCTTCTCTATCAGCTCAGGGAAGGGTGCTCTAAACAGAGATGATGGTGTGGAAGAAAGGATGAAAGCA